TGTGTGTGTGTGTGTGTGTGTGTGTGTGTCTCATTCAAGATAAGGCTGGCTCAGCAGGGTGGGGTGTGGGGCTGATAATATTGTCGATGTAGCCAGTGTGGATATTGAGTCATAAATAAGCTCAAGCACACACACTCACAGTCGTATGCACACACATAAATAAAATTGATGGAAGGGACATAAAAGCAATTAGGACTAATCATGATTGTTTGCACTTGATGCAGGAGGAAAGACCAGGGTTAGCAATATTTAAAATAACTCCACATTTATCAATCTCCACAAACACACACGGTCTCAGGAACACACGCCATCCCCGTTGAGCCCATTCCGTGCTTTGGGGGACGTTCGGCGAGCGATGGACCAAAGCTTGTTTTTTTTTGTGTCAAACCGACTACATGCTACATCTTAAACAAACGCAGCTCTCGGGGATGCATCAGCGATAACAATGTTGCAGCGCTGTAAATTCTTAGATTATCACCGAGAGGCAGTTTAAAGGGGGAAACAGTTTTATCATCCAGATTCACAGAGAAGTTAGAAAGGGCACCTCACACACAGCAAGCATCACACAATGCAGAGAGTCAGCACAACGAAAAAGGAGGCTGGAAATGGACAGAGGACCAATCCTTCATTTGTGTATGGTAACACTGGTTCCATGCTGCACACAGCAGGGTTTGTGTTTGGTTTGTTGAATCCTACATCACATGTGAGACCCTAATTTTCAGAGCCTGACCCCATATTTTCGATAACAACCTTTCACAGACATATTGGTGTCTGCCTTTTTTTTCACACAGAGAAAACAATAGAGAAAAGATGTGGATATAATTTTACATTTCACGCAGAAAACTGTTTTGATGTATTTATTTGCTGTGTGTGTGTTTTTTTTGTTATAAATTATTTTAAAATATAAGGATATACAGTACCAGCATTAAGCCCTCCCTTCTGAAAAATATAATCCAATTACAGGAGGGCATGCAGGTCTGCCATCCATTGCCATGGATGTGTAGTTTTTCTCATGACAAAGAAGAGAACGCAGCACAAAGAAGTAAAGGGCGGTGAAAGAACAAAGCTGATACCTACAGGCGTCATATTGGCTGTTAGCTTTAAAGAAAGTAGATGCAACAAATCATCATTTTATTTATTTGCACAAAGTCCTTAAATAAATATAAAACACTAATAACCTCTGATTCAAAGAGAAACTTCAGCGTATTTGCATTGATTAATCGTCTGATATCTTAATTGGTGAAAGCTCGGGGACGCTCTTATTCTCACCTCCTCCACATCATTATCCAGAGCTATGATGGCCAGTGGTGCGGACAGGCTGACACTGGTCGCTATGGTGGTTCCCACTGGCGATGCTTCACTGACGTAGCCATGGTAACTTGTTTCCAGGAAGTAGGGTGCCTGGTTGTTTTCATCCAGAACTTCGATTTGGAGGTTGGCAAACGCTGGCAGGGGGTGGCCATTGTTCTGTTCTGCCTAAAAGAGAGAGATTAAGTAATTTTTCCTTTTTGGCCGTGGTGTTTCACTTCCTGCGCTCTGACAGTCATTAGTCCTGCTGCTGAGGTCGTATTAAATTATAATACTTCACACAATAAATGTTAAACAGCGCTCAGTAGAGCTCTTAGCTTTGATAATGGTAATAAAACAGGCCAGTTACACTTGCTCGGGTTTATTTCCTAACAAAGTATAGGGCAATTGGACATAAATTAATTGATGATGTGCAATTTTTTTATGGGGTTTTATCATTGGTCTTTTATCTTAACACTGTTTTTATTCAGTTTGTCAGCTTTGACATGAAAACTGTTTCCCTCAATATAAATTTTAGGAGACGCAATCTTCTGTTTAATGGAAACTTTTCTTTACTTTTTGATGTTTGTGTGAATCAGTCTGATTGGATAACGATGACACCTACAGCACTGCAGAGTGGGCAACTTCATGAAACAAAGCACAACTGTACTTCACAGTTACCACACATTATTAGCCTGTTTCTTCCTATTTAGTTTTTATCCCACTAGGGTTTTTCCAAGAGTTAATTTTTCTGCTTAATTTGGGTTTTAATTACTTTAATTTGACGCTACAAAACACCTGAGACTGACTTGCAATCTGTTGAGTGTGTTTACCGGTGAGACTCTGACACAGCGGCTTCACACCATGATCACTACTTTGTCGACTCTGGCTCTAAATTATATAAAAATCCCAAACCGGCAGAACCAATATTTCAGCATAGATTCTGTTTAACAGGAAACGTGTTATCTATCTTTATGAACATTCTATAGGAGTAACCACTTGTACAATATATTTTCTTTATTAAATCTTA